GATAGTGGTAAACGTAAGTTGAGTTAAAAAACAAAACCATAGTTGTGGCTGTTTCATGCTGCACAGAGGGAGCTATGACTTATCTGCTCAGCTCATAGTTTTGGTCCAGATCGGAGGTCTAGCTCTAGAGTTCAATTATAAGCACACTGCCCCTCGTGACCTCCTTAAAAATCAAAACACAACATTAAATTGAGCCATGGGGTGTCATTCCAAGGTTTGCTAGTATTGCAAAGAAATATTAACTTCTTTAAAGTGCCTCTGTTAGATCGTAATATTTGTTTGTCAGGAAGTTGGTTTACACTTTAGTCATTCTGATATTTAGAGATTCAGTGAGTAAACCTGTTGACCTTTTCTAGTTACCCTAACCCTAACTGTAACAATAATATTTGCCTTACTTCCCCAAAGCCTGTTTTCAAAGACTTGCCCCACACTTAAACAGGAATAACATATTTGTATAGGGGAAATGTTATAAACAATTGTGTATTCTGCTTCTTTTTTTTATTGAACATTATAAAATTACATTACCAGAGACATTAGAGGACATCAGTTATATTTTAAACATCTAAGTACTGTAAGTATGTGGGAATATTAAATTGTGTTAGCTGAGTATTAAGAGCAGTTGAATACAACCATATATGAACTTAAATAAGGAAAGATCAAGTTAAAAAAGGTGCCACTGTTTTGATTGCATGTGTTGCACCAGTTACCATTGGCCCTTTGTCACAATGAAGCTTTTTTTTTAATCAAAACATGCCACAACAGAAATAAATAGTCTATCCTATCAAACCTTCTAAAGCTGATCTACTGTACATAACTGACTTTAAATCAGCCTATAGATGTAAATCTCATATCGCTGTTAAGGTCTTTAATAATATTTATTTTCTATATATGCTATTTCTACCAACAAATACCACCTGCAAACCCGATAGACCCCACAGCAGGCCAACATCTGTAATGACAAGCTAGGTCAAGCCTCAGCTCTGCCTGAAAGGTTTGACCCTTGACCCCCCAGGCATTATGTCTGCCTCTGGGGTGGTGGCTTATCATTGCTCCCAAAAGCTGATATTTCCCACCCAGGACAAAGACTGGTAAAACACAACGTAACCAGTCGGGTCCTCAGACAGTGCGTCGGAACAGAGGAACAACATCCCCCCATTGAAATGGTTGGACAGTTGTTGGCCTTTTATTGTCTGAGCATGAAACCAGGGACACATGTTGGGTGGTAAAAGTGTCAAGGCCTGACTGAAGGGCCATTGTGTCGCTTTCCAGTGGTAGCAGTAAGGCTTTGTTCCCTGTGTTGTTCATCATTAGCATATCAATATTCAAAGGGGCTGATGCCGGGCAGAGGTGGCAGCCTTTTTAGCCTAGAGTAGACCCTAATGCACAAATAAAGAAACCTGCATTCGACTCTGAAGGACCAGCTGTTGAGCTAAGCCCATAAAGATAAGAAGTATAGGGGATTCATAGAGCTGACTTTGAGTGTTTGTCCATTTTCTATTTTCTTTAAGCTCCCAAATATCCTTTCCAATGTACGGTACATTTGAAGCACTTTTGAAACATTTCTCCCATTCTCTTGGGTGAATAACAAAGGGCTAAATGGTGTCACCCATTCCACCCCTCACCACCCCTCCAGCAGGCCTCCCTCCCCTTCCTCTCCTCCAGCCAGCTGACCCCACGACTGGTAGGCCGGAGGACAGTTAACCTTGTGTGTTATTGTGTGTGTGTGTTTGAGTGAGTGTGTTGGAGGGGCAAAGCCACCAGATAGTGTCGGTTACTCCGAGGGCCAAGCGGAAAAGCGGTTGGGCAGTTTAGCCAGCTGCTGGGGGAGCGAGCCACGGCAGGCCTGGTCAGTGAAACCTTGCCAGATGGAGCCATTTCAAAACAATGAGAGCTGCTTGCTAGGATTGAAAACTAGAGGCTGGTTGCTCAGGGGACGCAGAGGGCGGGCCTTTATCTACAGTATCTACACCCTGCGCTTTGGTTTGCATTATCGGAAAACTTGTCTTTTGGTCAGCAACTTATTCCAGCAAAAATGTTGTATTTTTAAGTTTCACTGCAGATTTTGTTGATTTATTTCTCTTGCAGCAAGTGATTCAATCTGATCCGATTTACCCATATTAGTCTTCCACTGTTGAGGTGTGTTGTTCAGATGCACAAGTCATTCTCTTGCCGTCTTTGACATCATCTTGCTAACTATTTATTTATCTGAATATTTTCTCTCTCTCTCTCTCACTCTTATACACACAAGTTTGCTCTACTCATCTCTATCTCCAGACAGCAACAGGCTGAGTGTCCTGGGACTACTCCGCTTAGGAGTAACCAAGCCTGGGTAATGAGGCGTGTGATTGGTCCCCTCCCTCTTGAACAAGGCCAGTCTTAGCAGCACATGATTGATCATGACAGCAGCACAATGGTAGACTGGTGTCAGAGGGGTGGCATGGGTGCACATGGACCCCCGTAGTAACACTCAGTCACCCAAATCAGTTACACACACATGCGCACACACACATATTCACATTTATGTGCATCATTCAGGATAGCACAGAGGCACTTGTTGACGTATGCAACATTTAAAATGACAAGTAAAAAAAAACAAGATCATGTGCCCCAATATTTTTATTATAATGCATAAAAGGCCACACCGGCAGACTGATCAATTTAAATAAATTCTGTTCGGACCTGAGAAACCTCCCTCTAGAGATAGGCAGTGTATTATAGGAGCTTGTAATCAATATATTGCATTCGTCTACTCTAACTTTTGTCATAAGTTAAGGCCTTTGATGGTAACATTTCTCTCTTCTTGAAAATTGCTTTTGCAGTTCTTCTCTTCTGAGTGCAAAAATACAAACATAAGCTGAGATAAATGCAATACATGAAAAACAACAGATCTCCGTAAAGATTTGTATTCGTAAATCCATTGTCTTTTCAGGTGAGTACCCTCACTTGAAAACAGAGCTTTCATGTGCTGCATCCCATTTGTTCTTTTCAAGAGACCCTTAAGGGCCGAGGCTTGTCTCATCCACTTGAGAGCCTTTTGATCCTGCTCATATTCAAGGTTATAAAATCAAGTTCCAATAGTTGCAAATGCTGAATATTAATAGAGGATCCTTACTGGCTGATTGCAGCTGCTTTCTCAAGTAGTTCCCAGGTGTTTTAAATCTTTACCAATTTTCTGTGATGATGCTTTAGGTTTTGCAGAGGATAAACACAACAGGATAAAAGCCTTGGCCTGTTTTCAGGGTTGGCTCATCATGATATTCATGCAGGGGAGCTGAGGATACAGGGAAATGAAATGTTTGTTGGCAGTATCTGCATAGTGTTACAAAACAACTTCACATTGGTATTGCTAATTGCTGATTAGTTTATCCCTAAAATGTCTTCTTAAGCTAATAGTGTCTTTTAATATAAGCAATAGGTTTATGATTATGATTCCAAAATTGTCAGTGAGGGTTATTTGAGATTTTTATTTGAAAAGGTTTTAAATGTGCATGAGACACTACTATGCCCATCTTAACCATGCACTGCGTTAAATTGCAAAGACTCTCTCCTCAAAGCAGGCTTGTTGTTGTTCATGTAGTCTAATCTTATTTGCTACAGTGGCTTTAGGTTACTCTGTACATCTCCTTCCAGATTTACAAACAGTTTTCGCTTAATCTGCGTAAAGATCCACACTGACTTGTTGACCAGAGATTACTGCTCATGAAAACACCCAAAATGTGCTTGTTATCCTTGAAAACAAATATCCATAGATATCGTTTTTTTTAAAACCATGTGTTTGTTGTGGAATTTCTGGAATGAGGGAGAGAGGATGTTGAAGTACAATGACTAAAGAATGATTTATTTCCAACTTTGTGAGGCTAATTGCCCTGAATGGACTAATGAACAGCACCGATCTAATTGGCTTACAGCTCTTGTGGCCTGGCGTGCTGGGCGAGTAAAATTGAATCAAAGCTGTAGGACTCCGTCAGAGTAGTTTTATGCGCTGTGGTGGTAATTGGCGCAGTGTCAAAGGCATGTATATGGCACTGAGCCAAAATGCAGCCCAGCTCTGCATAAGCGCGTGAATTCAAATATTGTAAGAATGCATTAATTTCATTGTTTTGAAGAAAGAACAAAAGAAAGGTGTTACAATTGAAACTCTGTGCATTTTAATATTTTAACTCGTTTTTTCCACTTGCACCTAACCGTAATCATAGGTCATTTTTTCAAAAACAAGAGTATTTTAATTTAGTTAGGTAAAACTAGTACCTGTCAATGATTGTAAACTATTCCCAACAGTTAAGATGCACAGCTAATATAACAGTATGTATGCTATATCTTACAACAGTAATGATATACGGTCTATGTTTTAACAAACAAAAGAAAAACGCAGCGATACAAATGCAACAATGTCCCAAACACTGCCCAATTGCCCCATTGTGCCCCGTGAAAGACAGACACGTGCACCAAAACATAGATAAGGAGAGGAGAGGGAGGAGGGGGGGGGGGCAAGTGTTTGTGTCTGTGTGTGCGCGTGTGCGAGTTCTTAAAGATAGCCACGGGGGATGTAGGAGCACACACGCCTCCAGCCTGTAGAGAAGCTCCCCCTTCAGCACCCTGGACAGAGGCAGCGCTGCCCGCCGGGTACTTGAGTATTTCAGTAAGGTCTCAGGCAGCCGGGCTCACAGTCAGGTCAGCTGCTGATGGTCAGACACTTTTCCACTGCCACACGCCCCTTGTTTTCACCCCACCTCGAGCTTATCCACGCGGAATCAAAGAGCAACTTGATGAATATTCACAGTTTACGTCCTCGGTGGCTGACGAACCGTGAAAGGTCGACTGGTTTTCTTTTTAACATTTTTTTAGAAATCGAGCTGCCTTCGAATCGATCTCAACTCCAGAGGATACATCTCCAGGAAACTGCCGGTTTGAGTCCATCGTCGCAGTAGTTTGATTTAATTTTTGACCACAGGCGTTTCGACGCTACTGTTCTTCTGTTGGGATATCGGAACATCTTCAAAATGTTGCTTGAACACCCGGGATCAAGCTGTCAAAGCACCGGCAATTTCTCCCGGTACAGTTCAGGACAAGGTAATAAATCCATTGTAACTATTCACACTGTGCACATGCATTAAAATGTGGGTTTAGGGGAAGAGCCAGGCAGAGATGAATATGAATTGATGTCCTGGGGTCAGTTAATGAGTTTCAATTGGCGTGAAAATGGAGGATAATACATCAGATCAGCACAGCAGGCTCTCTGAAGGCGGCCCTTGTTTTGCTCAGTGATCTCTGACAAGCGTGAAATAGACCTTGTTAACTGGTTTTATCCTATTTTGGAAAGGCACTCACTTTAACTTTTGATCATTTCTGTATTCCAAATATTCTTTTTGTAGACATTAAAAAAGTGAGAAAAAAAATACAAAGAGTTGAAGAAAACAGTCTGGTATCCACCAACCCATGTTGATGTATACAGAATATTTAGAGGCGCTTTCTTTTGCGCTGCGTGTGGGAGACGTTATGAATCTGTAATGAGCCTTCATTGTTGGAGAATCACACGAACAGATGTTATGCGCGTGCTGTCATTTCACGCCACCGCTTGTGGTTGTAACGGGAGTGCGGGCTGTGTGCAGGGAGCAGATACGGAGACCACCGGACCCCACTGACTCTATCTGCCAGCAGGCGCGGAGCAGCTCCCCCCCCGTATAGTCCACCGACCCGAAATGCTCAACAGGTGTCACATTCCTGCCCTGACAGGTGGGACACCTGAAGTTGGAAGTGAAGGTGATGATGCTTCACGGAAAAAGTAAAATTATTGGAGACTTGTATAATTATTTACTGTTGTCCAAAGCTGGAAAATACATGTTTTATTTATTTAGGCGAGTTACACAAATTATCGTTTTTGTTATTGTAAGGCTGCATTCATAAGGCAACACAAAACATTCATTTGATTTAAAATATAGATTATGGAGAATAAACCTCAAACCTATTTTTTAAACGGGTTATCTAATTTATTTGAGCCGAATACAAAAATGTAAATTGAGACAATAAAAAATAAAAAAAATAAAACAAAAAACGTGAATTTACCTGATCATTCTTGTGTCTTTCTCTAACTGACTGACCCTGTCTTTGATGGTCATTTTATCGCTTTGTTGTTGCATTACTGCCGGGCTCACCCCCTCAAAAGTGAGCGATCAATATGACATAAAAATATTACAAAGCTGAAAGTAAGAGGGGCACCCATGAACCCCGCACCTTTCTCCAAAACGTCTTTCATATACTTCTAAAATGCAGGCAAATAGGACATTGATTTTGGATTCATCAGCGGCCCGGCTGCTGTGGCACTACCTGTGATTTCCCAAGGCGCTCTTTTGTGCCAAAGATCAGTGTCAATAAAATTCATTGGGGTGTTGGCCCGATCAACATGTTATTGAACAGCCAATCTCTCCCCTAAATAAACACTTGTCTTTGAGCACATGAGATGAAGATTGTGTGTGCGTGAGGCCGTGTATGTTGTGTGTGTGTACCATATTCGAAATGACATTGTTACATCTGATCAGAGCATCTGATTTATGCATTGCTTTATTAGCAAGTAGTTGTATACTGTTATTGGAATTTTGTGTAATCATATTAATAATATAGACAAATAAAACCATGTATTTTGTATCTTGTTCCAAGGTAGAAATAATGTTACCCGTTTGTTAAATAGAGCGATTAATTGAGAACAATTGTTTGTTTTATTTTCTGCAGGAAATAATATTAATTAATGAAAAAGGCAAAGGTTTTTAAAAGACGTCTCCCATCAGGGCCCAATCTCTCCTTTGCGCATGGCAGAGCTGGAATCCGAATTAAAAACGGAAAGCCCAGGGGAGTCCTCTCCACACACTCACATTATGAGTCAACAACATAATGGTGTCTAGTTCCCTGTATTTTTTGGAGGCTGTGGATCGAGTTCGTTTTGTTGTTTTTAAGTGTTCATTTGCATCAGTTTTAAGTCCACGCAGGGATCATTAACATTCTATGTCATAAGTATCTATCTTAACTAATGCCATGTTGGGCTTCTAACTGAAAACAGTTAAGAAAATATATCGCATTTACTCCTGTATATCGTTATCAATTACATAATATTACCATTTTACCTTTTTTCAAAGTGGTATTTGCATGCATTATGTAACTCTCATAGCATGATCACTGTTTAAAAGCCTTTACCTTTTGTATTTATCATTTTATATATTATCGAAAAAAGGGCAATCATGTCGTCCAATCTGGTGAAAATGCATAGATAGATCTCTTGAGTTTCAAAGTGGATGTTACTATATTTCAGTTGCAGTTTGGTAACAAAATAAAAATAACAGACATGATTCTATATCTTTTTTTTTCATCATTTTGGCGAGTTATAATAGTATATATCTATACCACAACAGTAAAACTATTGGTTATTCCTCTCACCTCCTGCATGTGTATTCCTCTTCCGGGTAGGGTACTCGGTAGGTGATGTTAATCTATCTGCCTGTCGCCCAGGAAACGGCGCAGCGTAATCCAGCACAGGCTTCAACTCAGTGAAGCATAAAAGCAAACTCCACTGCGCGCTCGTGTTCGCTTTTGGGCTCCTGGTACACCCATTTGACAACACTTGATCCCATGCATATGCGTGTGGATATAAACCAAACAAGATATATTTGATTTAATATAATCATGAGCTATGGATGGACATGGTGATCGCAACTCTCTAAAAGAGACACCAAAAAACACGGAGATGCTCCTTGCTTTGCTGTCGCACAGTGAGGAGCTACTGAAAGGTAACCGGAAGCCAACATGTAATCAATTGGTTCGTTTTTGCATTGTTTTGCTTGCATATTTTGTAGCCTATACTGTAGCGTATTTGGACCTTTGCTATTGGCTGTAGTTGCAGTTTGTTGATAATATTTCCATCATGTTAAATTAGTGTTTACTATCATGGATAATGAATGATGTGCAGTGGCTTTAATTCCGGCAAATTGTCCTGTCGAGCGAAACAGTTTTACAGCTGGTGAGACAGAGGACATGTGCCATTTGAGTTGCTCCAGATCTTTTATGCATCAGGCTTTTATTTGACCTTTGATTTATCTGAATGATCGTTCAAATGTACATGTATCATATTTTATATGTAGTGCTCTTTTGGGGAGGCTTACTCCAGGGAAATTGTTTTTACGCATTGTTGAGTCTAACCTAAAGCGTTTTGGTCACGGTCCAGACGGTTTTATTGAAGAATACATGTTCTTGCTAATACGTTTCTGTATACTATATATACGTTTTTCTAGGAGCTTTGGTTGAATGGTTGTATGTTAAATAATAAGAGACCCCAATGTGTTCATTTACACAGGCCCATTCTCAGCACGACAGTATTATGTGATTCATCGAACCTCACCTGCTCCAACGTTACATAATGCACATTTACGCACAAAATTGCAATTTGGATATGCATGCATGTTTATTTTTAATCTTCCAAGTGGGCCCACTAAGGCTAACAATTTGCTTGGACACCTTATTGGTTTCACCTATAGGCCGCAGCTTTCTAGTTTTACAGAGCGCACTGAATAAATGATGGCCTGTGTACACCTGTTCTTGACGGGGCTCCCGGCAGCACACTTGTGCAGTGTTTCGCTGGTGATGCCAGAAGAAATGGTTCATTAATGTGCCATGAATTGTCTACAACAGAACAATAGGAACAAGACTCCTTGCACGGATAGAATATAAAGTGCTTGAGCATTATTCAATTAATAATGAGGAGGAATGATAACGTCATACTTGGCATACAGATTTCTATTTTTTTTCTTTAATACAGCGTTTCTCTTAAGCACTCGTTATTGTGTTCAAATATCTCAAATGGAGATTATTTTGTATATATTGTAGGCTTCTCTTTCTGAAACTGACCTTGCAAAAATATGCTGCTGCTTGTTAAAGATGATGACACGTGACAAAATAAAAAAACAGCCGATCACCACTCGATTAACGAGTTATTAATTCCCAAGATGATCCTGAAGCGTACTCCTCATTTATGGATATCAAATGCCTTTTCTTTAAAGAATCCTGCTAACTTTGATCTGCACTGTTGGATTTATGTGAATTTATTTTATTCTAGTAAAATCGTTTGGCAGAATAAGCACATTTCGATATAAATCTCAGAAAGTGTGGTGGTCTGCTATCGCTACAATTTTCTCTGATGTCCATATGTATTCGGAATCATTCCAAAGCATGTTTCAAACACATGAAACGTTTTTTGCCACAAAAATGTAAAATTAAACAATAAGATGACTATACGTTTAAATCATAGACTTACGTTTTTTTCTTTTTCGATCACAGTTTATTATAACCGAATAACATAGTGTATGTGTATTATGTAATTGATAAAGTCCCTGCTCAAACACTTTTGTTTGACGGACGTTACAAATATCTTTATGTTTTCAGTTGTTTAATGTTGGGTTGCGTTTGACTGTGCAATACAATTATGATTATGATCTGGTAGTATGGTACTTAGTTGTTTTGATAGATTTAGTAGATTAATTGATTTTGGATATAGGTAATTTATCAAATACAATTTGATATCATTGAATTTATAGATTAAAAAAATACTACCAAACAACCAAATATTTCAAACATTAAAAAAAGACAAGAAGGTGAGTCATTGTTTAGATATATTCATATTAATTTCTGATTTGAAGGGTGACGTCACATTTTTGAGCGTCCGTCTTGCATAATTAAACGTGTGTACATTAACAGATAATTACTTTAAGTACGCGTAGACATATTAAGGACAATAAGCTGGATCAGATATCACTCAGTACAATGTTTCCCCATGCAAGTAACTGTATAAATTGAATTAGCCAAAACGATTCCATCATGTCTCCTGCAGAAATCCCAGTATGTGCAGGCTGCAATCAACACATCGTGGACCGCTTTATCCTCAAAGTGCTGGATCGCCACTGGCACAGCAAGTGCCTGAAATGCAGCGACTGCCAGGCGCAACTGTCCGAGAAGTGCTTCAGCAGGGGCGAGAGCGTCTACTGCAAAGAGGATTTCTTCAAGTGAGTAAAACTATTAAAACACTTTTTTTTCAAATAAATCTTTTACTATTTAGAATTAATTGATCGAAGGTTATTATGTATTGATGAAAAACGTCTAATTTCCAAAAGGAGATTCGGGACCAAGTGCGCAGCCTGTCAGCAGGGCATACCGCCCACACAGGTGGTGAGGAGAGCGCAGGACTTCGTGTACCACCTGCACTGCTTCGCCTGCATCGTGTGCAAAAGGCAACTGGCCACAGGTGACGAGTACTATCTGATGGAGGACAGCAGGCTCGTGTGCAAAGCCGACTACGAGACCGCCAAACAGAGAGGTGAGGAACAAAATGCACATCTTCACATTTCTGTTTGTGGCCTGAAAATTGCGTCATTTTCAGACCAAACCCCGATGCGTTTGCATGCACACTTGTTTTTTAAGTACCTGCTCTGAGTTGTGAGTCAGACGTGACAATGAGGTCACCCATAAAGCCTGACCCACCTGCGCTAATTGCGTCGTTGCCTGCAACCCAATCGATAGCAAACTGCGTAAAGTGGAGGCCTGGAGGCTTCCACTTGCACTCTGCGCTGCAAGGAATCAGCTTTCAATAACTCTTATTACAGTATTGTGTGTGCCTTCCGGAGTAAGGACATAGTTAGAAATGTAGGCCTGTACTGTATGTGTATATGATAATCAAAAATTAAGAAACAATGTATTATTATGTTTAATTATGTTAATGGTGCTAGAATTGTTTGAGCCATTATAAATATCGAAATACTTTTAAATTAAACGTGCAATTTAGCTCAATTAAAATGTATACTTTAATAGTTTTTTCTCTTAAAATCTACAGTTGCAATACATTCACCTATGCTTTTATTAGTGTAGGAACTCTCTCTAAATATTAAATGCATTTTCATATTAACTCATATTAATAGTTTATTTTCAAATATAATGAATGTTCCTTAAAGCAACATTGCACACAAGTTGTGAACAATTAAGTTGCAAAAAGTTCCATTAAGCCATTTTATCAAAAACATATTTCTACCCCAAAAATTACATACCATTGTATTAATATACAGTAGTCATTTGAACCTCAATGAGCAAATAAATAACAATTAAAACAAGTGTTTAAACCCATTTATGATCACTTCTTTATGCATAGAGATAGTTAATTTGTGGCAGTTAAATCTACTCACATGTGTTGAGAAGTAGTTAATAACATTTCAGATTTTCTTCCAAAGTTATTAAATGCACAACATTTGTCTTTAAAACCCTGACCAAACAACCAATACCACAGTATCTTCCCAGCAGGCTGTGCTCCTGAGAGGGCAGAGTTTTTATCTCCCCATCTGTTTGTTTGAATTTACTGCCCAGCACCAAGTGTTGATTTACGCAGCGAGTTAACGCAAGTTTTCACTAAAAACACACACGTTTATTTTACTAATGAGAGGGCGCAATTACTTGGGCAGCATCCATTTGGATGATGGTTTTGTATTTTGCTGTGCTGGCCAACAGATGTGCAGACATGATGCAATTATGCACAGGAGGCCAGAGTGTTGGTTTATAGGTTGCAGAATTTATCCTTTTTTATGATAAATTATAAAGTTTATGATACGGGACATTTATGCTATGGGTTACTGTGAATGTGTGTTTCTATAAAAATGTAAGGTCACTTTAATGATCCAAAAATAGATACAAATCAAGAGTTTATCCCAAGCAATCTATATGGAAAGTTGATAGTAATATTTGTCTTTGTCTAATTGAAAGTATTAGATGGATTTCTTTCATTTAATGTGAATCCTCTCATTTGTCTTTTTTCTTGATTACTCAACTATTTCAAGACTAAACCATATTTCTTGAGACTTCTGGCCTGGAAACTTGGAGACACAGTCCATCGTTGGCTTACATTGTGTGTTCTCCATTCTCTTTTCAGAGGCAGACTCGACTGCAAAAAGGCCACGAACCACCATCACTGCTAAACAGCTGGAAACACTGAAGAACGCCTACAATAACTCTCCCAAACCTGCCCGCCACGTCCGAGAGCAGCTATCGTCAGAGACCGGCCTGGATATGCGGGTTGTGCAGGTAAAGTGTATTATTATCCATTAAGGGCTACTCCATTAGTGTTCTGACTTCATTATCAAGGGACAATTGTGGCCAAACTGGCACAAGCCTACTGTACGAACAAGCGTGTGAGTGTGTAGGTGTGTATGTGTTAGGGGGGGAATTTACGGCTAGATGGAGTAAAATGAAGTCCACATGAAAGTCAGCCCAGTTTAAGTGCAAGCTCGTTAACAATGCTAAGAGGGCCCCTCGCATATTGTCTGCTGCTGAGGAGCCTCACGCCGGTTGCTAGGTGGTGGTCATATATATTGTTTTATTTGCAAGGACAAAAGTAGAGACGGAAGCCACTAAAATGCTCCTCATTATTCAGTGAAAGGGAAGGGGTGAAGAGGGTTCACTTAGGGCGGAATATCATTAAGGAGAATGTAAAATTGCTTTTTGTGCCTGTGACAAAAAATTAATACATTTTCTACGTAAGATAAAATAATAAGAAATGTTAATTTTGTATCAGAAATAATATCCATTTGTGAGGTAGTTGACGTGTAGGACCCTGTGGTGTTTGTGTTTTCAAAAGCTTAAATTTACAATATAGTATAGCACTTAATTCAAAAAGGGGAATAGAGGAAACTCTGAATAATTGAAACTAGTGGCACGTTAACCTGTCTGCACCTTGGGGTGAGGAGAACTTGTAGCTGGTGCTAAGTTAATTAAATGCGTGATAAATCTGATGAGGATTACTCCTCAGTGTCACTGTTTGGGGTGCAAAGCCGTGTCCAGATAGTCCTTGAAAACTGAATCCTTTATCTTTTTAAGCATAATATCTGCATCAGCGAAAGAGCAGAGGACTTTGCATGTAGATGACTTTGAATTGTTAGGCACAAGGACTAAAAACAATGTTGACTTGTATTGTCCAAGAGGATTATGTAAATAAGGTGAATAGAAAGCCTTTTGTTTCTGTGTGTTTCTGTGTGTTGTTTACAAAATGAAGAACTTGAGGCAACACAAATGATTGCTTATACCCAAACTGATGTCTCACTGTTTTAAACAATTAAATGTGCTCTTATAAGTCACTCAATCCATTAACAAACAGGACGTCTTTTTCCCTCCAGGTTTGGTTTCAGAACAGGCGAGCTAAAGAGAAAAGACTGAAGAAAGACGCCGGTCGGCAGAGGTGGGGGCAGTACTTCCGCAACATGAAGAGGTCACGAGGAAGCTCCAAATCTGACAAGGACAGCATTCAGGAGGAGGGCCTGGATAGTGACGCTGAGGTGTCCTTCACAGGTACAACCACACAAAGTGAATGGGCGATTTTAGACACATTTTAACAATCTAACTGCTAACACACTTGCAAAAGGGGCACATTTTCATGCTATGCAGTCATAGTGTTGTTGTGCTGCCCTTGTCTTTTTTCCCCCACGCTTTGTAGATTATTTGAATCAATAATTGAGATATTGAGGATGTGACAATACTATCCAAGCTAGCCAAGCACAATGTTAAGGAGATGGTAGGATAAATGTACCAGGAATCAGTTATTTTCACTCTGGATTATTACAGTTTTGGTAACCTCACTCTTGTCATGTTTTTTACAGATGAACCACCCATGTCGGAGCTGGGCCTCACTAACGGCATCTATAGCAGCCTGAGCGACACTTCTCCGGGCATCGGGGGCCGTCAAGGCGGCAACAACCACAGCTCCTTCCCCCTGGAGCACGGGGTCCTCCCCTCTCAGGACCAGTTCCACGACATCCGCTCAAACAGTCCCTACGGCCTCCCTCAGTCGCCGGGGTCGCTTCAAGGGCTTCCCCGACACCAGCCCCTCATCTCCAGCTTGGTCTACCCTGACTCCGGCCTTTCCATCATGACCCAGGGCAGCGGGCCTGGTATCAACCCCGGGGTGAGGGTCTCCATGGGGGCTGCCAACGGCCCCAGCTCAGACCTCTCGACTGGCAGCAGCGGAGGATACCCAGACTTTCCTGCCAGTCCTGCCTCGTGGTTAGATGAAGTGGACCACGGGCAGTTTTGATTGGTAAACATTAAGAAATTGGACTCTATTTCTTCTTCTTTTTTTTTTTTTCTGTGTCTTCTGTTGGATTTAAGGAGTTGGGAAATCAGGGAAGTGATTTTGCAAAGGACTAGACTTCTGTCTTTGGGTCTCCAAATGATCTGATAAACAGGTTCATTTACATTTGGTATATTGATGAAAGGAAGGAGGAAAATGTCCTCTATTAAAAGCCCTTTGCTTGTCCTTCAGTAGTAAAAACTGTATGTAAAGCAAGAAATCTGTGAAAATGTTCAGTTTTCAGATACCACTATAAGCTTTTTCATTAATGAGACTCTTTCTTTCATTTGGATTTTCACCAACTCGCTCTCTTTACTCTCATCCCTTTGTTTTCTACACTGTGTTTAGGGGCAGAATTCAGTTTACCGTTCAGAGTCTTTAAATGTCTGGTTGTTGCCAAATGTCTATATATAAATATATAATGGTTTATCATTGCGGAGACTTTATTTTTATACAAACCCCCTTCCTGGACATGAATAAGAAACCCAGATATGAGGACTTTGTACATTCTTAAACAGGGATCTAGGCTAAATGTAGATGTTGTCTTAAATGGTACCTAGGGGCCCAATTACTTCTATGCATTTGTGTGTTCTCAGATGTATCTCGTTTGTTTTGTTCTACAGAAAACAACCCCAAGGAAGAACTTGCTGTAGCACATGGGGTTCGATGTATATGTTTGTTTATGTGGAAAATGTTTTATGTCTTATTTATTCCCTCTGGTAATGATGACGACGATGATGATGATGATGATGATGATGATGATGATGATGATGATGATGATGATGATTCCTGGTTAAATGGCAGGACTTTAATAAATTTGTCACCTAAATTAACAATGGAGTTCTATCCTTTTTGGTTGAATTACAGCATTGTGCATTGACAGTGGTTAAGCAACTTGTATTAATTTCCTACTAATTTAAAATGTGTTGTCCAAGCCAGGAAACATGAGACCAAGGGTAGATCCATCCCTGTCTTATATCGTGCATCCATCTATCGTTTGCATTCACCTATAGCTCTGAAACAAGAGCACGCCCACAGTTCTGCCTGTGTCTGCAAATTGAGTATCTGGCTAACTACCAACACTGTATCAGGGGTTCAACGGCTCTTTAGTGGAGAAATGTGATGCAGACAGAGTCAACTCATCAATTCAGAGATTACTGGGTCTTGTTTGCCCAAATGCCCCTATGGGAAAGGAATCTCCAATCCATTAGCCGAGAAGGGATCAAGTGCCCCTTGTGAATTTCCTCATTTGTTTAGTTATTCAAAGTCAGGTTCAATTAAGTAGATTAAACAGTATATGTGTGGGTGGGCGCGTGAATGAGTGTGCGTGTGCGTGTGTGCGTGTGTGTGTGTGTGTGTGTGTGTGTGTGTGTGTGGCACTGTTGGTTTACAGTAGGTGTAAAGTAAGTAATTTCCTCTTGGANAGGACCCAGCCTCGCAGTCCGCGGAGGACCCAGCTTGGGTCCTCCGCGGACTGCGAAATGAGACGGTCTACGGAGCATGTCCTTGTACGTCACCGGCAGACTGCCGGTGACGTACAAGGACATGCTCCGTAGACCGTCTCATTTCGCAGTCCGCGGAGGACCCAAGCTGGGTCCTCCGCGGACTGCGAGGCTGGGTCCTCAGGAGGCTGGGTCAGCCTCTGAATTGGGACACAGCTATGGTACCCCGAACACATATGGTACTCACACCGGTATCACGGCAAGACGTGAACATGTGACGATTTACTATGCTGGGAGAGGTGAAGATGTCACAATTTCGTCCCTTCAAACGTGACAGTTACACGGTATTGTTAACATCTGGAGCTCTTTTAATGTCCTTTTTGATTATTGTTACACCAGGTCTTGTCAAAACCTTTATTCCATATCCAATATCCATTACTAAACAAAACAGCACACCTGAAATGTACTGTATATTTAAATACTTTATTAAGGGCAGTGAATTAATTTGTTCTGTATGCTTTTCAAATCAGTCTTATAAGTGTCACAGACAGTGTTACATTGCTATTATTATACTTAAAATATATGTGAAACAAAACCATTTATGATCTTTTTATTTGAGTGGTTTACTAATGACAGTTAATTATGTTTTTGATGGTTTCATTTTTGTGAAAAATAATAAAATAATACAATTCAATAACGTGCTTTAACCACTAGGTGTCCCTTTATATCAGCTGTGCACCGTTATGGTGTAAATACAGCCTATCTACCAATTGGATCAAATATAAAAGTCATCCAAATTAGTATCCTTGATACTGCAAGGAGACGTATTGTGTGAAAAGAAATGTAAGATGTTGTTTAATTGCTGATATATTTATGATCCACGTCACGTTTTCAGTTTTGGTGGCAGTTCTTCATATTCGTCTAGAACAGTGGTTCCCAACCTTTTTAATAGCTACTAACTTGAATTGTTATTCAAATTAATTAATCAATTATTTTTATATTTTATTGTAATGTAGAGACAAGGCTTTTAGTGATGTATTGCTTTACATGTTAAAAAATAAAAATAAAAGTCTAAATATGATATTTGGCCTTAAATCATCTGAGGTCTGGCGATCTTTGGCGCCCCCTCAAGGGGGGCACGCCCCCCCGGTTGGGAACCACTGGTCTAGAAGTCTTCTCATCAGGGCTCTATAAATAGAGAACTACGGCAGATATGTAATATGTAATGCAGCCGAACCGTGTATTACAATGTCGTTATGTGATTAATTTCAAAGAGAAAAGCAAGCACACTCGGAATAAAGTATTTTTTAAAAAAATTCGGATTTCACATCGCATACACACCATTTCCCAACGTGCATTGCGGCTAAACTATCGAATCACAGAGCTGAGGATCTTGCCTACGTCTGTTTCCGGTATTGTTAATGACGGATGTATTTTGTTATACCCACATTCCTTCACATTTAAATTTAAATTTACATTAAAGTATTTCGTGAGGCCCTCTAAAATGTTTTTAAATATAACTACGGTTCTAGTTGAAGAGTTTGTAAATTGACATGAACCGAAGCTGTTGCCTGGCAACGCAATCGCACAACGTCACGTCCGTTAATTCCACATCCACACACATGGAACATCAATTTAATACATTAATGTAGCCTTTGTTTCTGCTAAAAGAGGTGTCGACCAGCTGGGGCAACAACAAAATCGGCGAAATTGAGTGTGACTATTAAATAATAAATCATTATTATATTAATATTGACAATAACAACCGACCGTCGGGGTAGCATTTGCTTGGCATTTCCGGGTATATCTCCACTGGTTGGGCCATGTTAACAATACCGTGTAACTGTCACGTTTGAAGGGACGAAATCGTGACATCTTCACGTCTCCCATCATGGTAAATCGTCACATGTTCACGCCTTGCCGTGATACCGGGTTGGATTTTGCAGGTTTTTGTTGCAGTGGTGGAGCAACTTTTAAGTAAAAGTGTCATTTTAGCTTTTATGATCAAACAATTACCTGATTACTCTGTCATAAGCCTGTTTTGTCGAAACTAGTTTTTTTCTTTAGTTATACTGCCAGTATCTCCACAGAATATTGGCTGTGTTTAATGTTTGGTGCAGGAAGATAAATAACAAACCCATTTACAGTACTCCTAGCTTCACTGCATCCTTTTCATTACACCAAAGTACTAATGTAAATGTTCTGATAGTTAAGGGTTTAATGTGTAAATGTAATTCTGAGAATCCTTGAAAGTAGATGTATGCCTATAGCTGCCTTCAGCAGATGATATTAAGAGCCCAATGTGGTTCATTTCTCCTGAATGTATCCCACCTTTTGTTTTTGTCTTCCCTCAGAAGCCTCAGGGCTCAGCCATCCAGGGACCAAAGTTGATCTGGCAGGCATTGAGGAAAGCGTTTGGCAGACCTCTCATCCTCAGCATCACATTTAGATTCATGGCCGACTTGCTGGGCTTCGCCGGCCCTCTCTGCATCTCTGGCATCGTGCACCACATCAGCAAGGACAACCGCACCATTCAGCCGCCGGTGAGGTCTCAACAACTCTGCCATGCACATGATACGGAAGCATAACATAAAACAACACAATAGTGGGCAATAGAACTTGTATAACTTTGTATATAAGCTGCTGAATATGTTTTTTACTCAAGTTTTTGTTTGCAAAACCAGTCTTTACCTGCTTGCTCTCATATTCTTATCCTCACCTGCTGTCTTTTTGCCACAATAATATTCCGCTACTTTCTGCCTCAATAGCCTGGTTTAATGTCGTATTTCTGCTTAACATTACACATACAGTGGGGCAAAAAAGTATTTAGTCAGCCACCAATTGTGCAAGTTCTCCCACTTAAAAAGATGAGAGAGGCCTGTAATTTTCATCCTATGTATACCTCAACTAGACAAAATGAGAAAAGAAAATCCAGAAAATCACATTGTCTGATTTTTAAAGAATTTATTTGCAAATTATGGTGGAAAATAAGTATTTGGTCACCTACAAACAAACAGATTTCTGGCTCTCGCAGACCTGTAACTTCTTCTTTAAGAGCCTTCTCTGTCCTCCACTTGTTAACTGTATTAATGGCACCTGTTTGAACTCGTTATTAGTATAAAAGACACCTGTCCACAACCTCAAACAGTCACACTCAAAACTCCACTATGGCCAAGACCAAAGAGCTGTCGAAGGACACCAGAAACACAATTGTAGACCTGCACCAGGGTGGGAAGACTGAATCTGCAATAGGTAAGCAGCTTGGTGTGAAGAAATCAACTGTGGGAGCAATTATTAGAAAATGAAAGACATACAAGACCAGTGTGAGAAAAAGTTTTTAGAGAGTACTTGTCCATGGACAAGTGAGTTTGGCAATTTACTTGTCCGAATACATTTTTCACTTGTCCAGAATGGATACAAATTTGGGCCACTGGAATCTTTTTCTTTGCC